GAATTTTATTTACGTCCTACTATCAGCGTCTCTGACGATTGTTTGTTATTTTCATGATTGATAAATATGAGTAAGTAATTCTTCATCAGTAGCCAACACAACTTTCTTGTTGTTGGACGTATTGTATCGACTATTGAACTAACAGCATAATAAATAGTAATAAGAATATAAGATTATAAGTACAAATAATAATAAGATACTATTTCGTTAATTCGTATTTCGTAGTACCTGCTACGTAAGTATAATTATAAAATTATTTTTTATATGCAAATAATTTTACGGCTTTTTAATATTTGTTATTAAAAAAATTGAAATTACACTGATTATGAGGATTTATTAATTAATGATGTTTATAATTATTGTTTACTTATTGATTTGTTTATTATTATTGTTTATTAATTAATATGTTTACTTTTTAATTTATTAATTAATTTTTTTCATGAATGTTTTCTATAAGTTTGTTTATCATTATTGTTTACTTATCAATTTGTTTATTTATTTGTTTTTATCCTAATTTGTTTATTTGTTATTCAGTTTATTTCTTATTCCCCAGCGATATCAGGAGAGACCTATACAGAGGAAAAATAAGGAAAAAAAGGGGCCGCATGGATGGACGGACGCACGGAGAATTTCGCGCCTTCTGTTTAATATAATAGAAGATATATAAGATATATATATATTTTTTTTTTATTTCAGATTAAAAAATGAAAATTAACGCTCCGAACGTTTGAAATTTATTATTAGCTTACTTTCAAACTCTACAAATACCTGAAAGTGAGACAAATTTTAAAGAGATTCAATTGTTGGAAAGAATTAAAAGCATTTTAATAGATTCCGTGAATGATTTCAATGAAGTTGATATGATCGTTGAAGATACATTAGATTTTCAAGAAGATTACAAAGATCATGCTGCAAAAATAGTAGAAGATGAAATTCAACACCATTTTCCTGACGATTTCGAAGCACCCACCGACCATTGTACCAAAGACAATGAAGATGTCAGTTTTGAATATAAGCAAAGAGCCGTAGAATACTGAAAAAAAACTAATTACAAAAAACTAACTACAAAAAAAAAATTTAAGTGTTGAAAGTGTACGTCAAAAATTTAAGAAAGTTTCATCTGTGAGTCAGTTGAAACGTTGGGCTCATACAGTCAACAAAGGTGGTACTTATAGAGAAAAAATTGCAAGAATTTGACAGTACACTTTTGATAATTTTAAAGCAGCAGTAGACGCTGGTTACATCATTCATGATCGTGACATACGTCGATGGGCATTGCAAGCTCAAAAGATTATAGGATCAGAAGATGTAAGATTCAAAGCTTCGGATAACTGGCTTTGTAAATTCAAGAAAGCTCATAGAATAGTATCCCGGAAAATAAATAAGTTTATAACCAAGAAAACACTAGAAAGTAATTCAGAACTAACGATTAAAGCAAATACTTTTATTGCTGATGTTAAAGCAGGCATAAGAATAATTGGAATTCATAATGTGTTTAATTCTGATCAGAGCGGATTCCAACTGGAAATGCACTCCGGAAGAACGCTAGCGGTTGAAGGAGAAAAGCAGATACAGTGTTTAGTACAGTCAGTTTCTTCAACAACCCACAGTTATACTATACAGCCACTCATATCAGCCGCAGGAGAATTACTGTCACCACTCTTTTTAGTTTTGAAGGAATCTAGCGGTGAGTTTGGACCCATTGTTGAAACCACTTTATTTAGACCCGAAAATGTTTACGTAGAAGCATCTAAATCTGGAAAGTTGACTACAGGTATACATAATCCCATCTAGTTACAATTAATGTCATTATAAATGATTTAACAAATAAGATTTTTGATTTTAGATCTCTTTAAAATATGGCTGCAAAAAGTATATTTCCCTAATTTAGGTTCCAATACGATACTGTTGCTTGACTCCTGGAGCGGTCATTGTGACAGTGCCATAGAAACTGTAACTCCACGTGATCAAATTATAAATTTTAAAAAAATACCGACTGGCACAACGGGAAAAATTCAGCCACTTGATGTTTTTGGATTTCGCATATAGAAGAACTTTGTCCGCCAATTTTCAGATACCATAATTTTGATGAATTATGATTTGGATTTACATAAAAGAAACAACATCATTAAACTTCAGTCGTTAGTCCACAATCAATTATCTTCACCAAGATATACTAATCTTTTTAAATATTCCTGGTTCAAGAGTGGTTACCTCACTAAAAAACCAGAAAATTTTGACAATCCTGTTGCTTACAGTTGTGGAGATTCCTGCAATACACATTGTGACATAGAAGGATGCAAAAATGTGGCTATTATACGTTGCGGTTGGTGCAAAAAATCATTATGTTTCGAGCACTTCTATGAAGAATATCATTATTGTAAGAAGTATGAACAATAAATCCGTCCTAATTTTTTTGATTGTTTTTAATTGGTAACTGAATGAGTTATAGTAACGCATATAAAAATCAATTAAATATATATTACTTGGCAGTTTACAATTTTAGTCACAAGAAAGGAGAAAAACTCAACCAACAAAAACAATGGCAATGCTATCAACCCTCCTAATAACCGAATGGCGATGGTAATAAACCTCCCCCTAATAACCCTCCTAATATCCCCCAATAGCATTGCTTACAACCCCCCATTAACCTCCTAATAACTCCCCCCCCCCCAATAAGACTCTCCCCCTAATAACCCCCTAATAACCCCAGTAGTTAGCAGGGTTGATAACGTTGCCATTATGTTATTCGGTGGGTTGCAAGCATTGCCATAAAGTTGCAAGGGGGCTCAGCTATGTCTTCGGGCTATTAGTGGGGGGCTAACGGCATTTTCATTGGAGGTTTTTAGGGGGTTATTAGGGGGGGTTGTAAGCATTCTGATAGTGCGGGTTAGTGCGGGAAATTGCCATTGGGATATAAGGGGAGTTTTAGAAATTGCTACTGGGTGATGGATCATTTTTCCGGACAGATTCGGAATCGGCGCAACAAAATACTTTGGAAAAACGTTGTCCCAGTTCTGGGTCTTGTTGGGTGATATAATCTTGAATTGGTACATATTTTTCGTATTCTATCCACGATAATAATTTTTCCAATTTTTTAAGCTCATTATGAACTTTTTTTCAAAAATAGGAATGGAGAAGGTAAAAATTTCGATGACATAAATTAGGGGTTGCAACTCTCGTAGTCGAAACTGCACGAGATAAATGTGTTTGTGCATTATAAGTGATGAGCAACGTATTTTACAGTAAATTATCAACAGGACCTGTAATGTATTGGAAACAATTTTTTGGGGGTGGTTTTTCGAAATTAGGGGTGGTTTTAAAAATGAGAAGTAAATTTTTTTTTCTTATTCTATCCATGGTAATATTTTTTCTAATTTTTTTAAGCTCATTATGAACTTTTCTTCAAAAATAGATACAAAGAAGGTAAAAATTTCGATGACAGAAATTAGGGGTTGCAACCCTTGTGGTCGAAACTGCACGAGATAGTTGTGTTTGTACAGTATAAATGATGAGCAACGTATTTTACACTAAATTATCAACACCACCTGTAATGTATTGAAAACAATTTTTTAGGGGTGGTTTTTCAACTTTAAGGGAGTAGTTTGAAAAAAAGCTTGAATAGATTAACTTTATTTTTGTATTTTATGTAGGGTAATATTTTTTCCAATTTTTTTCGGGTTATTTTAATTTTTTTCATAAAAATAGCCATGAAATAGATAGTATTTTAAATAAAAAAAATAAGGGTTGCATCCCTTGTGGTCGAAATTGCATGTGCTAGTTTGCTTTTCACATGAGAAGTGATATGAAATTTGTTTGGTCGTAAAATATCAATTAGATGCTGAGATACATTGGAAAATCTATTTTTGGGGGTGAACTTTGAGGGTTGTTTTCACCCCCTTAAAGTGTTTTTCCGCCGATAAAAAAAAATACGTATGTCTTATTTTTTGATGAACTATAACATATCAAAAGATTATTGAAATCGGTGAGGTCGGGTTGGGGGGGTTTCCTTGTTAGTAGAATTAGAGCGAAGAGAGAGAGAGACAATTAAAATTACAAGGAAGAAGAGATTTCAGCTTATCGAGAATAGAGCCCAAAAGTACTCACTCTGTTGCCTAGGTCCAAAATATTGTTTGGTTCGTGATATGTCCAATATATTCTTTTTCTTTGTATCCGATCAGATCAACTGGTCCAATATATTTTTATCCGATAGCGTACCAACACCCAATAAAATAACAATTCCTATGATTTTCGTGGTCTTATGTATTTTTATCCAATAGTGTACTAACACGCAACAAAATGACAATTCCTATGATTTTCGTTTACACGAAATTATTAAAACAATTGAATTCGACACTTAATCGCAACTTGAACAATTATATTCTCAAAACTCTTTAGTAGGAAAATGCAGGCTTCTTGGTTGAGCGCTCGCTCCTGACTGACTAATTCTCTGGTGCTCTGCTTTCGCTGGCTTATTATATAGCCTTTGTCCTTAGCATAGCGTCTCTCTCCGAAGCGTATACGCTTCGGATGTTTACGCTTCTCGTGGCGGGTCGTCTTACCTAGCTAAGCACGCTGACCGAAACATGCCGTCGCAGCATGCTGGCGTAGCGTGAATCAGCCTCTGCCGCACGTTCCCACCGAGTCGCGCACACGAATACTGCTGATTATACTATGTCCGAACGGAAATCTCGGGTCCGAAATATTATTAAACAAAATACAATTATAATACAATGAAGCGTCACGTAACATTATGTATATTGGACCTATTATATTAGTTTTTAATAGTTTTTTAAACAAAAAATATATTGATTCGACTTTCTAAGGGTACCTTTTAAGGTAGTTTGATTTCTTAACAATTGATTTTCTTTTATATGAATGGATATATAATCTTTCATTTACTCATATAGTCTACCTAAAAATATATCTTTTTGAAGCTGTTATTTTTGAAAAAATTGGTTTATAAAATAATGAAAGTTTTAATCATATATTATTTTTAGTTACTAGATATGGATATCAGTGATATGAATTCTAACGATAAAAAGGAACATCTCTTCAAGATTCTTGTTATTGGTGAACTTGGTGCTGGCAAGACTTCTATTATAAAACGCTATGTTCATCAGTTTTTTTCCCAGCATTATCGTGCTACAATCGGGGTCGATTTCGCCTTAAAAGTACTAAATTGGGACGCTAAAAATATAATAAGACTGCAGTTGTGGGATATTGCAGGTGATTTATTGTTTAATGATATGATATATTTAATATATTTGATATAATTGATTTATATCCATATTATAATTTTTATATCCTTTATAAGTAGTATTCTCACTCTTGCTACTTTAAGTATTAGTATAATACTGTAATTAAATATTCTCATAGCATAGTTATAAAATATTATTTCCGTAAGTCATGATAACATGAGTCTGAAATTAGTTAGAGCTATAGGAATCCTGATTCTGCTAAAAATATGTAATTGAAACTGATCAGTAGTAAATCTTAGTCCTAGATAAACCAATTAAAATTAATAGAGAACGTATTAAGAAGCAAGATTGTTAAAAATTATTCCAAATGATTAGATAGAAAAATTTTCAAATTCATACAATTATTAATGATGAATGAAGTGAAAAACAACGTAAAAAAATTATTGAATACGGAATTTATCTTCAATTATTTCTAATAGAAATTAAAAAATAAATATTAAGTATTCAAACTTCTCTCTTAATCTCAGCTTCCTACGTATTTACCGGAATTCGAATCTTTGATCTTTTGTATGTGAAGCTAAAACTTTACCTAAAATAGCGAAAACTAGACCATCGATGATTTACAGAATCGGTTCTTTGGATCGGAACTATAAGCTACAACATGACTACAGAAATGTACAGTTATACTATCAAATAATTTTCTACTAAATTTATATTTTCCTCTCCCTTTGCCTCTCTCTCTCTCTCTCTCTCTCTCCCTCTTTCTCTTTCTCTTTCTCTCTTTTATACATATAATAATATAATCTCTTAGATATATATATATATATTTATATCGTACATTTCGCATTTAAAAGTTATATTGTTCAAAATTTTCGTAATTTTAAACTCTATCGACTAACGTTTGATTTGAAAAAAATCAAAATAGCGGTATTAATATGGCTCCTGAAAGCATGAAAAATCGTGTTGAAGACGTTTTATTAAAGTAAAGCTAATATGAAAAAATTGCTTTTACACCTAAAGATTTTCAGACTGTATGTCTTTGAGGTCGTTGAATTGAAATCAGCTGTCAAATTAATCCTATCTAATCACTGTTCGATCCTAATTAATAAATGACTAAAATTGACGAAATTACGCTATGTTACGATAATTAACATGCTCAAATTACCTTACCGTTATATTTTCGGGACACTGAATACAAATCTAATATTATATTAATTTTATGTAGTCATTGTTAATCCATATTCTCAAATATGGTAAAAATTGCCAAAATAATACAGTTTTGCGAAGATTACCACCCTCAAATCACTTTATCTTTATGTTTCGGTGGTTGTTTAATATGAATATTATATCAGTACTAAATAATATATCATTATTATAGCAATGTATCTTCTGGGCCACTTTCTGCTCGATGAAAGTGCCCTAGAACATACGTATGTTCTAGACCAAAAGAGGGCCACGAGGTTGCAGAAAGCCCTAGGGATCCTAGTGAGGTAATGAAAATGAAAACAGTTACAAACTATGATTAATAAATTAATAAATTAATTAAATCAGAAGAAAAGAAGCAAGTTAAAAATGAGTTTGAAAAATTATTTTACAAGCTTATGATTAATGCAGTATATGAAAAACGATAGAGCACGAAAGGAAACGAAAAGATGTCAAACTAGTGTTAATCAGTGAGATGGTTGATATGGCGCTGAAGCACCATAAGCAGCATCATGTATGAAATTCAAGACGTCGATATATATATGAGATCATGAAAAAAAACATTAATAGATTTGACATATTAGATTATCTAGTTCCTAATCAATTTGGTATGCCTCTCGCTAATAAAAAAGTTGTTGGAATCATGAAAGATCAGTGCAATGCCTCCATTCTCATAGAATATATTAGATTACGAAGTAAATTATGTAGTATTGAAATAGCAAATAAGGAGCCCCTGAAAAAGGTAAAAGGAGTGAAAAAAACATACAGATAATAATAGTATCACGCATTCAGATTGTCGAAAATGTTTAAATAGAGAAGAAATTATTAAATGTACTCAGTATAATATACGAACTAAATTACATCAAGTATTAACAGAGAGATTAGATTAGTTCGTTTATTGCACCAATGAGGTGGAACCCCGTCTGGCAAAGCAGAGAGAAAGAGAGAGAGGAAGAGACTCCACAAAACGCTTATGATGACAAATGTTGTATGTTTGAGAATAATCCGAACACACTTCCATAGGACCATTACGAGTATAAAACTGTCGAAATCGTAAAATTGAAAAAAGAGTTACAAAACTACGAAGTAAGAGGCATATAGGAAGTAAGTAGCGGTCAGGACGAGCAGCCTAGGAGGAGACTGAAGCTAATAGGAAGTTTAGAAAGAAAGAATGAAGAGGGAGAAACAACGACTGCTTGAATCCGCGGAGTGAGAGAATGGCTTTTGATGAAGAACCATCAAAGACTAAAAGAGAAGAAAACAAACGCAGCCGCTGAAGCTCTAAGGGTGGGATTACCGCTAATAAATCCGAGAGCTCGCTCTTGTTAAGAACAATTGATCAGGACTCGCTCAAAACAACAATCTTACTTTCAACTTCTAGTATATCCGTTACCAACCTATAAAACAAGTAAGTTGCTTGAAGAATTGCTAATCATTAATACCCTAGCAATAAACAATCAACTAATTATTTCATTAGTAATTTTGTTATAGAATGAATTTTTCGACAACAAACAAGGTTGCCTAGACGACTTTCTTTTCCTGGAAGACGATGTTCCAGCTAGGGACATTCTCTATCAAATCACTAGTTAGATGGTTAATAACAAGATATGGATTTTGCATTGTTATTACTATTGACGACGAATTTAAGGTATTTCTCCCCAAAAGTGTGAGCATACTACTTGAAAATAGATTAACAAATTCTTAAAGTTGTATACCAAACCAGTGAGAAGGAAGAACTGTTTATTTTTCATCGCAATGAATCTAACTTCGAATTTAAAAGTAGTTTTAATATAGATTGATTAAGTAATAATAATATTTTTGTATTACTATTATTATAAGATAGTTTGTAATAAATGTAAATTACTAAATAAAATTCTAAAAAATTACTAACCAATTGAATAGCTTTCTTACTTTATGCAACTATCCTCTTATTTCCTTTATATGGAGAGGAAAAAGCAGTCAATAATGTAGCCCTTTCCAACGAGTTTCGAGTTAAACAATAGCTTGTGCTACCACCATTCAATAAGAAGAATCAATTACAGCAACACTATACTCTTTTTATTCATCAAGGGACGTATTAGAAGCAAGAAGAACATTTGTTCTTCGAAGCATGTATGGTTCTCATGCATATATGTATGGTTAATAAAGTTCAAATTCACTATCATCCTATTAAAGACAAAGATTCAAAAAAAATAGTATGGGAGCAACTTACACGAGATCGAGAATGCTTTCAACGACATATCAGACAACTAAGCAGTATAATATCGCGAGCAATATTTAAAAAACGTATAATAATGATGAATAATATTCTTGAATCTTTACTAAAAAATCATTGTACAGAATATACACTTAACAAACTAGAAATCTAATTGAAGGTGAAAGATCAAACAAGAAGAGAGAGGCAGTCGTGGCAGCTCGAAAAAGTCTAGTAGTGGAGTGAAGGTCTTAAGAGAGAGAGAGAGAGAGAGAGAGAGAGAGAGAGAAGAGCTCGAAAAACGTCATTCTGTTAGAAAAATCGTCACCAATAGTATCCTTTTTCTTTTCTTCTATTCTCATGTCATAAGTTCTCTCCCGTTACCAGAGAATACGACGAATTCTTTATAAATTGGCCCGGAAGGACAAGCTGCTTCGCGGGGGACGTGAAAGGCAACATTTCGACGCGCACAAAAGGGAATAGGCAGGAATGGTCAGCACAATAATCACTCAAAACTCGTTTAACACATATATTTATCTACACATTTCAACAGTTACAATCAGTAATTCTACGTAACAATCGCGCTCTCGCACTACCGCAGCCGCGAGTTCTTGCGGAAAATCGCATGGAACCCGGCTGGCGCGACGGTTACGAGCTATTCTCCGCGTTTTTCCATAGGCCCTCGAGCGAAATAACCGCTGAGCCTCCCTATCCTCACGGGTTGCCGGCGACGCGATCTTACGAAAGAGAGAGAAAACTTGACCTACCTTAAGGGAAAGCTGCTCGGTGTCCCCGGGTTGTATAAATGCTGGTGGCTCGTTCACTCCTTCTCGTAACACAAATCTCGTGACGAACAGTCGCACTACGTTGTACACGCGTTGCATAATAATTCTCACTCGCTTTCAAAAGGCAAAAAATTAAGTACTAAGACAGCGCGGACAAAGCGTGTCGCACTCAATCGCTGTCGCAATCTACTGCCGGGCACCGAGCGCCTCCCAACAAAAACTCTTGAATAGCGGGCAATCAGCGGCAACTCACGCGTGCCAACCTTGCCGGCTTCCAAATCATATTCCTTGTTGTTCCCTCTCTCGCTCTCTCTGCCACCGGGAAGAGAGAGACGTTGACGGAGCTAATGGCACGAGCCATGGCTCTCGTTACACTCAAACTAAATCTCCAGTAGCAAGATGGTCTTTAAAATGTTAAATAAAACTGCTATGAAGTCCTTTGACTTACTACTTATTTAATATAACAAATGTATCTTTATTTCAATAATGCTTGTACAATAAATTTTACTATATAATATGTTGTGGAGAAGTTAATGAGTCACAGGTGTTTCTACTAAAGCAGGTTTCGACTTGTTCTAATGGACTCACAAGTGATGATGCTCAAATGAAAATACCTCCCAGGTGAGAGTGAAGGTTAGGGCTCTTACCATAAAAAACAAAACAAAAATTATTTATTATTATTATGATATTTATCTAAATAAAAATTATTTTCCATACACTTCTTTATTCTTTCACGTGTATAAACTCTTATCTATCCACGAATTGTACAAGTGGTCGAATTCTAATCATTTTACGTATACTCAATTACCATCTTTCTTTAGAATTTTTTCAATAAGATAAACATCA